GGGAATGTACCATGTCCACGGTTCAACTTTGGAAATGATCATGCAGACAATGGACTCCGGACTAAGTGCGTTCCTCTAAGTCATTCTACCAATATGATCATGTTGCGAAAACAAGGTCAAACAACCTCTAACAGAGATCATATTTAGGCTTCCTAGTTAGGAAATTAAACAATGTACTTAAATCTAAGGAATAACAGAGGCATAAAACATATCATGCGTATTTAGAATCACAGCCGCAAACATATAAGTAAAATAAACAACTCTCTATTCAGTCGTAAATAATTTAATTAACGAACTATAATGAGAAATTCCTGTTTCGATAACCTTCATTTCGTTTGAAAAGGCGAATTGAATGAATTCATAAATTGGCTCCATCGAAAACTGAAAAAATGGTGACTTGATTTATTCTAAGTAATCCTTAGCTGGCCTTCCTTCAACTACAAGCAGCCTACAAGCTGTTCCCTACACTCGTTCCTTATTTTCTTATATTTGGTCATTTTAAACTCTTTCTTCGGCTTAATTATGAAATGTCCATATCTTTCGAATAGTTTTTCTTTATATCAATCCATCTGCTTAAGTTGTGCTTTGCTCGTTAGGATTTCTGGTCCCACGAACCTGTCAAGGCCGTTTAATGCTTAGATAACCTCATAAGTATTGGTCGGCAGGTCTCCGCTTTATATACATTATAACAAGAACGCGAAGCCTTGTAGCATTCTGATCTGTAAATTCTTAGAGATATGGTATTATATAGTAAAACGCGACTTTCTTTTTGCACATTGTCTCAATGTCTTATTCCTGAGCTGACACGATGTTAACGTCAAGATTCTCCTAAAATGACCTATTTGTTTGCACGAGATAGTTACTTCAACTCATCATCTTTTCTAGTATTATTAAATCATTTTCAATTAATCCTAATGTATAATCTTTCCCAACTAAAATATTTCCTTAATTTTATTTTCTCATCCTTGTGTTTAACATGTACTATATGTAAAAATTTTATTATACTCGGTTTCCCTACTCTTCGATTGGCCCAAGACGTGACTAGAAAATAAATTCAGATTGAAACTCGCATTTGTGGTTTTTTTATACGCATCACTACCCAGTTCGGTTTCCTTTTCTAACTAGTACATCAAAAATGGTGGTATACCATCATTATCTACATCCTTAATTAATTCAGTCTTCCTATTCCTTTCGTTAACTTATGAAGGCTATCCACACTCATTGAAGTGTTGCTGAAGCTAACCCACGAGTATTGCGTACAACCAACGCCTGTGCAAACGAACACGCTTATTTACGCCAACATTACACCACTTATAATTTTTGCGGAGTTGCGGCTGTTTGGTCACAGCAGCATCCTTTCACATGTCATTCGCAGCTATCTGATGTGATACCCTCAGCTACCTCACTTATCTGCAAACATGAAGTAGCCAATCAAAGCATGCGACTAAACCTAAAGCCACACTATCTTGGTCTTCATATCTACTCATCATGATATGCCACATTCAGTGGACACAGGCTATAATAAATAGATAGCATCGCAGCTAGCAATCTTTCTTGTCCCTATGATTTTTATATTTTCCATTTAGTTTATCACCTTTTATTTTACTCTCATGACAATATTTTTACCAATGTTAATATTAACGCTTTGAATCGGATTTGACAATTACTTGCAACTTACAGTATACTCTAACCTCATTTAACTCTACATCTTATAATTTTAACTTTAAAAATATTTGCTTGCATTTTGGCTTAGTGTTACTAATCTATAAAATGGCAAACATTCTTTTCTTCGTCGCTGGGGCTATTGATCGTTATCTAGTGATTATTTACTAGCTTGCTTACCTGATATATTAAGTAAACTTAATCCCAGTGTTTGCGAATTCACTTATGATTATTGCGTACATTTCATTTGGTTTACTCATAATTAAGACTGCTTTGAGGGAAAATTGCCAATTTCACGCAATGTCATCTTAAATTATCTTTTATTTTTCATATAATTTTCGTCTATTAAAAAAAGCCTATTTCTAGCTTATCCATAATTTTATAAGATATTCTTTATTCTCCTTTTCATCTTCTTTAATCTCCCTTATCCTTAGGTTTTGGGTATCCTTCCGGAGGATCGCAACGCCCCCAGATTACAGCTACTTCGTCATTTGAATATTTCTGGTTGTCTTGAATTGGTGAAAATTCCCGCTTATCTTCTTCCTGTCCTCGAGCCTACCGCATCTTCTTCCCATGTAAAGATACAATTAAGCAAAAAATTGATTACTTGCTAAATTTTAATAGAAAAAATATCAATATTTAACTAATTAATTACCAATTTACCGGAAAGGGTTTATCATGTGGAAGGAAACCGTTTGCATGTCTTATCTCTTGCTGATTATATAACTTTTGTGAGTACGTTTACATATATTTCTTCTTTGGCCGTTCAGTCCCCATCCGACCTTCGCTGTGAACATTCAGGTCTCTTCTACATTAATATTCAGTGCACTCCCAAGCTCGACCAAGTTGCCGCTCTCAAGCAGCTCGCCGGTAAAATGCTTTTAAAATTAGTATTTTCATTAGCTTGAAAATCAATCTATCTTTTTATATTCATTTTAAAGACGGGCTATTTGATACTCGTATGTGAAGACAACGGGTTTGGTCTCAGTTTCTCTACTTGTCTGAGTTTATTTGCACTTGCTTTTACTATATCTATGGAGTTACTTAATAGGAGCATTATTCTATTCGCTACTTCAATGTCATGTAATTAATTGATAATTAAATATAGAAAGTGCAGATGACAACCCAATAATCATCAGCCCTCTAACAAGA